CTGCACACGTACGTCGTTCAATAATATGATATGATGTGACATACACGAGTTCACACAACGCGATAATGACATATCTCTATTCTAAATGAGTTTGTTTTGCGCGTGCGATCGTGTATCTCTCGTCTCATTTCGGCATCCCAATACTGACTGCGGTCGTAAAAGTTGGCATAATCCAAGTTCGGCACGAAGCACGACCAGTACTGACGTGCATCGCAATGTATACGTTGTGTCTCACCGAAAATCAGAATGCCGGAATATCGCGGTGCGCTATATTGTATTTCCAGGTAATATCTATCTGTGGATACAATTACAGAACGGGCGCGACAACGCGACACGACACGACGCGACGCGTCGACGCGCGTCGGTGCATTTTCGTAAATTATGCGGAAGAAACGGATGGGAGTGCGTTGATATACGACGTAACGCGACGAAAAGCATTTTTCAGCAAATGACTTCTGTCTGTTGTTTCAATCCGCCGCAATTCGTCTGCGAGCAAATAACGTATGTAAATTGTTTCAACGTGTAAGCCTTATTGCCGCTAGACCAATTTTAGAACTGAGGTCAAAAACAAAATTGCTATAAATTGTTCTTTGGAAAATAATAAATTTTAATTAAAAATTGGACGTATGTGAGTAACAGGATTTTTTAATTAAAAATCACAGCACTTGTAATATTTTGTATTCCAGTTATCATAGATTTTATATATTATTAAACCAAATATGACGATAGAATTTATACAATTAGTACTCTTGCGTGAAATTGCATAGGAGAATTGCACAAATTTATTAAATAACTAAACGTGGATGCTGCGTTATTAATGTGGCAGACACGGATGAGAGATGGTATAATCACAATTGAACTGTGATAACAATCGAAGAATTCATTTACATGCATTAAATGTTAATAATAATAAAAATAACCACAGCAGTAAGTTATTTGCATTTATTTGCAATCAATTTAATATACAGATTACAGATAATTTGTTAGTATAACCAATTCTATTAGACAAATAACTAAATAAATATGTCTTTTCAAAGTAATGACTCTTACTATTCGATTTTTGGTTGTGTACAAAAATTCACGAATTTTTAATGTGCGTTTTCTGATTGTTATCAGAACTATCCATCTTTAGATATATTGCTGATATAATTATTTAAAAATGTTTATAATTTTCTCTAATTATACAACTAATATCATTAAACGTTAATACATATTATGTGTTGATTACTGTACGTTTGCATTACATTTCTCGCTTTTCTTCGTTTATATACATATATATATATTTATCATACGGAATGAGTATAAAATGTGTATACTCTCTAACCCGCTTAATTTCATAGTGTATAATTTCTCTTTAGTCCACCACTATTTTAATTGACTTATTTAACATATGCGATATATTATTATTTTAACAATAAACGATATATCCAGCTTAATAATAATATGCATATTCAGTGAACATGCTTTAATTATCGTATATGTCGACTATTCAATCGAGATTGAAGAATGTTATTGAATATATAAGAGTGTAATAACAAGTATAATAATTTAATTTAATTTTATATATCTGAATCTCCGGATAATCACACTATGTTTATGAAAATTTTAATAAGTAGCATGCTAAACACAGCTATGATAAACATATGCAATATTTGAATTGCATATTTAACATTATAACAGAATGTATTTTACAACAGCATTTATAATTATTTACATATATTTATAATTAAGATATTAACATACTAATAAATGGCTTTGACAAAACGTATTATTCAAAGCTGTTTGTCAGAACAAACACGTCGATAATTAAATTTATTTATTAAAGTTTTCCGAAATATGTGCTTTGAACTACAAATAAATTATGCCGAATTAAATCGCAAGCGGGATAGTATATAAATTCATAATTTTTTGCAAATTTACTATACAACGTGGAATGTCAAAGTACACTATAACCAATACGGATAATACATGGAAAAATGGCGCGAACGCGATTTTAGAGAGCCCGAAATTCCCGCGTAATTAATTAATGCGATAAAATGATACGTGCTTGCACAGTGACAATTAGCGACAAACTACATTACCGAAACTCGTTGTTTATTGCAATTAAAATATTTTTTGGTTTAATAAACGTTGCATTATGTCATTTTTTCATAATTATACCAGCAATTACTGCACTGTTTGTTTTATATATCAGATTTAAAAATCGCATTTTCTCTCTTTATGGTTCGCATTCTTTTAGGAATTCTAGCATGTTTTTTGACATGTAATGTGATAATTTATACATATTTTTATCTTAAAATATTATTTAAGTCAATATTTAGCCTATACTTATTTTAACTTTGTTTATTATAATACAATAATTTTTACGTTATTAATAAATTTGTGTAGACTTATAATAGATTTTTTTATTTTATATGATATAAAATTTATTATTGATATAAGGTAAATTATTATATATAAATTAACGCATTAGGCTTCGACTTATTTCCCACTCTACTGAAAAATGCTCTTGCGGTATTGTCATCGCAAGCAATTTGCATAAAGTGAGAAATGACGTCTTGAAATTCTCACTGTAAAACGGCGAGAATTTTAATTTCTCTACCACTGCCATCGCTGTGCACGCGTAACTTTCGAGCGCCGGGAATTTTAAAACGCCGCTTATTACTGGTCTGGTGCTGGTGGGAGGATTTAATAACGCAAATCCCGGGGAAGTACAGCGCGAGTCATCCTTTCAATAAGGAAAACGTACGGACGACTCACGTTAGCGGAGCGTGGACAGACATTGCGCGTCGAATTAATCCGTAATGAATGATTCATGAGGCCTCGATCTCCGCGACCTAGCGTTTGTCCGCTGCCGTAAAAATGGAGCAGAGTTCACCATCGGGATCGAAGATTGTCGAACGAGATAGGCGGCCTGCACCAATTAACACGATCGTTGACACACTTCCGCGCTTTCTAACGCCGATACAAATAATTGCACGCGCGCGTATCGCGGATACGTGCGTGGCGATGCAAACGTTCAAGTATCCGGTCGTATATCGCAGATATGCGCAGCTATACTACTATCGCGCGCAAATAAATATCGGTGCACTTCTTGCGCTCGTTATCACGCGCGTATAAATATCACTCGAGTCCCGTGCACTCCCGGCATTATCGCGCTCGTTTTGCGCGTCACAGATGCGTTAATTATCTTAACACGGATAACGCGCAGCAGAATTAGGTATTACGGCATGCTGTTATTATTAACAATTTGAAACAGTGTTTGCAATTTTGCAATTACGATAATCCCACATCGCGATTATGCGAGGCGGAATGTCGGTTATATAGATAATTGATTGAAATTTGGCAAATGTATCAGTCGTCGCATCGTTGTCATATATTGTTGTTATTGTTATTAATAATAAATGTTGGATTTTACGAATTCTTGTATTTATCAATTACATGATTGATTCATTCATGTGTCATCACATGAAAAACATTTGAATATTTGTTGAAATAACATATGTATAAAAGATATTTGGGTAAAAAGAAATTAAAATCAAATTTCGTTTCTCTATATTTTTTAATAGCTTTCTTTTCGCGAACCGCATAATCGTGTGATGCGCACTTCGTGAGTATTAGCTACTTCTGTAAAGCGATCGGTCCGATTAACTGAAGCATCGGATACGCAGTATCAAATGTAGTCGAGTACATGGGGAAATACGGTACAGGCTACGTTTGGCAGTGAGGAGAAATTACGACTTTCGAAATTTCAGGCTGCCGCGCTTTCGCGTCTAATTAAACTTTGACTTCTCTCGTTTATACGCCCGTCAGAAGCTAAAGTGGCACGCTGCTGCAACCGAATGCTTGCGCGCAGAATACTTGGCAATTCGATTCCGTAATAACATTATCTCCACCGCCAAAGGGCTCGATCTTTTGTTCGCAAGATATTTTAACAGCACGAATATGCGGTTAACATCTCCGTCCTCTGAGCGCTTTTTAAAACACTGCGTCCATCCCGCAACAAAAAAGCAAGCATGACACCAAAAAATTAGTAACAATCATAAAAAGTAAAAGAATAATGAGTAATAATAATAAGAATCTATAATAATCAATTAAGGTCAGTTTAAGTGCTAATAAATTAAATATTAATAATATCGCTTTGAGTTTGTAACGTAAATATAAAATTTTAGGATTTAATAATTTAACTTTTCACATTTTGCAAATAACAGAAAATATTTCATATTTACATTATTGTTAATCAAATTAATGATAATTTATTTTTTGGATCATTTTTAATTCGTAAGTTTTTAGAAAGTACAATTAATTTTATATGACATAATATTCGTATTTTAACATATAAGTTAATTTTCAAAAGAGTGATTTCTTTTTTTGCATAATTTATACTACTTTTGCTTATAATTTTGACATTATAATAAAATTTTCCAAGAAATTTTTTGTATTTTCTAATAGAAACAAATGTGTGTGTATCATACATCCTACAAAAAAAAGAATATATATAAAAAAATCATTTGATCCAAGTATTCTATTCGTAATAAACTCTCACGATTTTGAATTGCTCCAATATCGAGTAACCATTATACGTATAAGCGCGGATTTTTCAGAACAATGCAACCGTAAAACTATTACCGATTGCATTCGAGTTTCATCAAAAAAATATCTGTACTTATTGTCAGTTACTAAAACACTTTTCCGCAATAAAAAGACAGATTGAAAAAGTCCAATATAACATTTGGACTCACTCGATACATTGAAAAGATGAATAAAATATGAATAAAATAATTATATAACAGAATGCTTTTTATAAAACGCGATAAAATTATTAGTAAACTTAATAGCATTTTTATGCGTTTTTTTTATAATATATGCCAAAAATTTCTTTGTAAACTACGTCGATAACTTTCATTATAATGTACATATACATATAATATACATTATATATAATATTCTCATTAATTTAAATGCAATGTATGATATATTTATTCGTAGAGAGAAAGACATTTACTTTTATTATTTTATATTTCAAACTTTTTGTTGAAAGTTCAGATCTTTACCGGCATTGATGATTTCCACATTATATACAAGATTTTCAAAAATCTTTAGATTCAAGCCAGCTTCTAACGATAAATATCAACTGTCTAATATTTATCTAATCTACGTTCTTTTAATTAATATATATATTATATTATTATATACATATTATATACATATTCTATCAAATATTACATAAGAAACTATTATTTCATTAAACCGATGATAAAGAAATTAGCAATTTGGTTATACTATTATTCTAATTGTATAAAGAATAAATAACCTTAGATCTCTCAAAGGAAAGATTTCGCATGCCGACATTCTCATATGAAATGGGAGGATAAATTTATGTCAAGGAACCAACGGCCTGCCTACAAAGAGAAACGAGCGAGCCTCGCAGGGATAATATTGTAATCAGCACCGTAAGAGCGAGTAGGACATCATGCTCCGTCTGCGACGCTTCGTACAACCACCCTTTTGTGTAAGCGTAACACTGCGAAACCATACCGATGACAAAACCGGCGGTGCCGAGAAAATTGTGAAGGAATTTGGTGATCACCGGTCGTACGAATTTACGAAGCTTCCACGCGATCCATACTGGATATCCGAAAACTGTTACCGCACATACGATGACCAGCGAGGAGATGCCCGTGATGCCGTGAATCGAACGAAAGTGTGCTGTTTTGGCATTGTACATTATACCCACACCGACAAGATTGAAGATTAGCCCGATAGCCTGCAGAACCCAGTGAAGGTGCTTGTTGGCACGGCGCGACCAGCGACCGGTCAGAACGTTGTCACCTGCCAGGACGATAATGGCTTCCGACATCAGCAGGACGTACTGAAAGGATGAGATCACAATTCGTAAGCGAGCATGGGGAGAAGTTCGCGTCGTTTGGCTAAGTCGTTAGAAGTTTTTGGCTATCTTGGCCTAAACTCTCCCAATAGGGGAGGAACACAATCACGCTCGATACGCGATTCTATGCTGGTGGACGCTATACGAAGGAGCCACGCGAAATGGATGTTGTAATTTGTGTTTCGGTGGGTTACCGAAACTCAATTGCAACATCCTCTGTAACATAGAATACTTCCCGCTTTATGGCGCGTATGTAATATAGTACGACCAGATAAGCGCGAGGCATATTAATTTTTTTCTGTTTTTCATCTAAATATACGCAGCAACTGGAATTCTTACGCAAACATTTTTATAACAATTACTCTACAATAATAATTAATATAATTTTATGCTATGAGACCCACTACACACCGAGAAAATTTTATATAAAAAATTACAATGTACGACAGTAACCGCGAACCATGAAGAAATTATAAAAATTGTTACTATGTTTTCTATATGTAAAACATGTGTAAAACATATGTAAAACATAGTACAAATTTTCGGTCCGCGGCTACTGCCGTTTTGATATAAAACTTTTTCTTCGTGTATAGACGATTTATAATTTGCAATAGAATTTGAGATAAAATTTTATTTATAATTTTATTGGAAAATACAGAACATTTAAAGAATCAGTACACACACCTGTATAAAATATGTCACTGATATATGTATATATTGTATATATGTACATTTTAATTCTTTAAATTTTTTTTTATATTATATAACACATAAATTTATACACATATTATACATACATAGAATTCCAACGGAATTATAGATCTAAAGTAAAATTAAGAATAATTTATAAAAAGCATATAGCACTTAGCGTTTTGCATATATATTTTTTTTAGGAGATAGAAATTTTCAAAATAGATTTGACTAAAATTATAACTCATATCGTTTCTTTTATATAATTTTAACAATTACAATAATTTTTTTTATATAAAAACTTCATATTATTTTTATTTGCAATTAATATTTCTTTCTATTTACAAGTAATGTTAAACTGAGAAATCATAAAATTTTATTATCAATTCGTATTATACTTAAAGTACGAAGCAATGCAAAAAATATACACAAATATTGCGAAGCTCATATTGATTACGTATGTACATACATTAAAAGTTGGAAAATTTCTTGAATATTTGTCAGCGTAAAAAGAATAAAACAGATATAAAATCTAGAATAATTAACGTTTCACCTCTGCATAAAGAGCAAAAATGTACGTTTGCTCATAAAAAGAATTTTCTTATATATGCATACATTTTTTCTAGGTGCAGATACTTTTATATTTATTTAAAAATGTGTGCAAAAAAATTAATTACATTTATTCTGTAAGAGCAGTTTGTGCAAACAAAAAATTTAATAGAAAAATGTATACGAAGAATTGCTAATTTAAACGCATCAAAATTAATGATTCATCTAATATCTAAGCTGTGTTTTGCACAGAAAAACATCGCAATTACGTTTTATTCGAAGCACAGCAAAACTGGAATTGTGTTAGAAGGAAAGGATACGATCTACCACAAGTTTGGTCGTAAATTCTTATATTGACGCGGATAGTTCAATGAAGAACGTATCTCACACGTTGAGCTTTTCTTCGGGCACAGCTCCGCGCTATATTAGATGCATCTCGATGAGCTACGTAATAAATGAAAATGTCTCGAGCGTGGAAAGCTTTAAGAAAATTTAGGTTACATGAAAACTTTTATCTCTGCAAAAGATCGTCGCGGCTAGAAACAAGCTTTATTTTTTTTTTATATTAACGTTTAAGAAATTCTAAGAGCAAATAAACATACAGAATATTAGTGTGCGACATAAATTGCATAAATTATGTAGTATATTTGAAGTTTTGGTTAAAAATTTTTTACAAATCTGATCGTAATTTCTATTTATATGTTTCATGCATTATACTATAGGATAAAATTAAGAAACATGGTGGCATCTTATAAAAATGATCAACAATAAATATAAACAAAAATGGTCTTTTCTTAATTGAATGCGGACGCTTCCGATAATATCGATAGATTAATAAACAGTCAAATTAATTATTGCAATTGATTTGCGCCTCAAGGGTAAAGCGAAGTTCCGATATATGTAAACTCTGTACAAACTTACTACATATACCGTACACAAATATATAGACAACACACAGCTTAGAATTTCAAAATTTTAGTACAAAATATTATTAGTTATAATATTATTATAGTATTATTATATTATAATATTATATTAGTTATAAATTAAGGTTATTTTGTTAATTAAGTACTGAATAAACAGATATTTTAACTTTGTATACTTTATAAGAAATATAAATATTTTATTCTTTTATTGCAAACATAACTTGCTTCAATCACATTGCATATCTAAAGTTTTCAAAAAGTTTTACCTTGTGGTCATGCATCAAAAGTATTTTAATTAATCCAGATACCGCGAAAGCGTTCAAAGAACTCGAGTAAAGTGCAACGAACTTAGTGCTTGATTATTAAAACCTTGATGATAATATCGGTCGACGCAGCATGACCAATTTTACCAATTTATAAATTATGATATTATAAAATTAATGAGAGTGAAAGAGGAAAATTGTATATTTTATGAAAATAGAATACTTACACCGATAGTGCAGAGGATCAAATGTATGCTTGTTATGGTATATTTTGCCTTCAATGTGCGATATATAAGATATATCGTCACCATAATAATCAATGTATGATTAATTACATCCAGTACAGAAATGATTACATGTCGAGTGCTGCAACTCGAATTTTTATCTTCAGAGTTTATATTTTCAGTAGAATCGCTAAGTTGAATCTCTGGTTTAGATCTTATCGATTCAAGTACTATTTTGTCATTGTTTCCATTCGTCATCGTTCTGCAATATGTACAATTTGTTATTGATGCTATCATTAGACAGAGAAATTTTGCACATAGTATTTAATAATTAAATAAAAACGTTTATGCAACATATTATGCAGTAAATATTTTTATATTATAATATATGTATATAAATAGTTACACAAAAAAACAATATATATGTTATGTATTTAAATAGATATATTAATAATATAGATGTAATGTAGATTTTGTAAATAAATATTTTTTCCAATGCGTATAAATCATTAGAACTCTTTAATATCGTTGAATAGTATTTTAAGAAATAAATTGTGAGTTATTTGCGAAAGTAGGACACAAGAATATTAAATACATAGTATTGTTATTAAAATTTCGCGACGATAATATTTCGATGTATAAATACAGTGATATTAATTAAGCTTTAATAATGCAAATAACGATTTATACTATTTTTGACGTATTTCAACAAAATGATCAATTTATGCCAATATAATTCAAATATAATTCAAATTCAACACAAAATACAATACACACGCTTTGTTTCAATAATTTTGATACTTATATAATTTATCAAGCATATGTACGAAAAAAAGTAATAATTACGATAAACGCGTGTCTCGACAAATTTCAACTGAGATAGTCATATTTAATTTTTATCAAACAATCTCACAGAATTTATCAACTGTCAGCTAGATTTACAAAATTCGTCATTCATAATGCTATGCGAAAATATCTCCGGGAATTTCCCTGTGAACTACTGACACATTTATTTATTTATGCATGATAATTCTTGTAACTGATAAGTGGGAAATTACAGCTGAATTTTCCTTTAGCCGAGTACAAGCCTTATCACTCAACTCCAAGAAAGCGAATTTAGCTCTCTAGGCAACCTCTAAAATTGAACGATCGTGAAAAAAGAGAAGAATAAAAATCAATCCGTGTGTGCGAGAAGCAGAAAATAGGGTTTGCCAAACGAGGTTACGAGGTCGTATCTATTGCTTCTGTGCTATTTGTTCCTTCCTTAATTATAAAAATTATTTTTTCTTGGTTTGAGTTAAGAAATTTTATAATTGCATAAATATTAATAATTTTTTTGTTTGTCTGCCACATTTTCAAATATACTAACTAAAATTAGTTTGACTTTTTACGTTTTTTTGTTAGACCAAAATAGAACAAAATAAAAATTAGTAAAGAAGCTTTCTATAGGTACGTTCCACTTGGCGATCGCAACGCTTGTGGAATCATTTTATCTTTGTTTTTCATCGAAAGTTAAAGAAAGATAGATAATGTTCACGAGCGTTGCGATCACCAAGTGGAACTCAGCCTACGTCGTATATGTGTATAACAATCTAAACTAATTTTAGTTAATTCTATATACTTGCAAATATGGCAGACAAACAAAAAATTATTAATATTTATTCAATTAACATTTATTCAATATACAAAACTTCTTTGTATATATATATATATATGTATATATATATATGAACACTTTAAAGGTATACTATGTTAAGTCACATTTTATCGAAAATTCAATTATTATTATCACAAAACTATACTCTAATTTTTACCTAATGACAAATGTTTTCAATAAAAATAGAGATCTTGACTATATAAAGTTAAGTCACAATATGATGACACATTCACCAAGTAAACAATGTTAAGTTACATTAAAATCATATTCCGTAATCACACAACTTAATTTTCTGAAACATCAAAGTTTGATATTATATCTGCGAATACAAAAAAATTTGCAGAACATTGTAAGGATTTTACTGAAAGCGTATCAAAAGCGAAAAATCTCTTTAGATTTTTCTCCTGAAAAATTATGTTCAAGTGACTTAACATAGTATACCTCTGAAGCTTATATTTACTTTGCGATTTACAAAATTAAACTTTTTAAATTATAAAATATTAAACTGATGCACTAGCAGATC